CCCCCCCCCCCCCCTCCAATTAATAACATACTTAGCCAGAATTGCAAATAACTACCCCAAAATACAAGAACCTACATGTAGTTTGCCAGACCTCCAAAAATGTCTACAGGTTCTTACATGGGAATTTTACTGTGTTTTAGCTGGCAAAAGCTGCCAAACAGACTACAAGCACAGAAACAAAATAGGAATAGGTAACAAAATAAACTCTTTCTTAACAAACACTTCTCTTGTTTTTGTCCATCTTAAAAAGATGAAACGTTCCAGTGGCAGGGCTGTCATTAAGTTTTGAGTCAACTGTAGCCTTGCATGATCATCCCACCCGTAACAAACTTGTTATCTTTTAGGTGAATTGTATCAACTACAGTCCAGTTCACCTGTGACATCAAGGGCCCATCAAACATACTCTGCCGTAGCAGGTGTTACGGGTTACAGCCCTTAAGGACAGCTCTGTAGAGGGGTACATTCTGAGACTGACCACTAGACACCAATTTCAGGCTGTGGAAGGCTTTACATTAGGGATATTACAGATTTTTTCAACAACAACCACAAGGCAAACTTAAAATATGCTGCACACAAAGTATTACCTACCTTGTCAGCTTGTCCCACAAAGACTGGACCCATTTGGAAAACACAAACTCAGAAGCGACTCCTGCAACAACAAGAAATATTACAACTTCATTTACTTGTTTGCCAATAATCAGTCATTGTACTTGATTATCACTTTGTCAGCCAGCAAGTTGGGACATCTTGCACATGATTATTTTGTAAGGTTATCAGATGAAAGAAAAATGGATGTAACAAGTTTTCACAAACTAAATGACAAAACTCAAGTTACTCTTACTAGTTTTATCGTCAGAGCAACTTGCCTATTTTTCTGTGAACAATGGAATCAGTTGGACTTGGTTTTCATAGAATCATCTCAAAACGCTGTGAGGTTAACCCATTTACCCTGTATGAGTGGAGAGAGGGATGGACAGCCTATGGGAAGAGCCTCCACACTCAAGAAAACGCTAACACTCAAGAGAACACACACTACAATGCACTTCGGTCCCAGAGCACATGGAATCCTACTCCATCTGCATCTCAGACCGCAAACTGAGACTACTGCTAATTGTTGCTAACTCTGTATCTATCAAGTAACCTCCTTACCTTTCGACAGTCCTGGGTTGGCCTGACCAATATATATGTAGACTAATAATGCCACAGAAATGTTAGCCAGTGCATATCCCCAGTTAATAAGGAACATTATCAGCACACTGGCAAATGCCTGTAAAGTGAAATAAAATGAATTACAATCAAAAATAGGAAAGCCAGCTTAATTTCCAAAATCACCACAGCAGCCAATCTAGGGTCCGAAATTAACTTTTTTAGGCAGGCGCCAACTGGCAACTGAAATGTTTTTTTAGTTGCCATATGGGAAAATGTGGTCGCCAAAAAGTGTCAATAAAATTTTTCCTTCGCAGCAAAACACAAACCAAAATTTTTGGTCACCACCGGCTTGCCGGCAAAATCAGATTTGCAATCGATGTCATCAGGAATCAAACCAATGCTCACGTCATCT